ATATATATATTTTAAATATATATATTATTTTCATGCCGAGCCGTGAAAGTGTCTTTGTCACTCGATTGCATAACTGGCAATTATTTTTCATTTGTATAGGCATAACCGTTGCATTCGGAGATTTGAATGCCGATAGACACACGGATCTGTTCTTCGTGAACGGGAACGTAGTTTCTGTTGCTTTTTCTGATGGTGATTCAGGCGAGACCTTTGAGGTTTCGGAAACCATCAATTGCACCGTTGCCGGATCAGGGGGTAGTGCAACTCCCATCATACATAATGTCGTGGCTACGGATATGAACAACGATGGTATGCCTTCTAATCAATGTAGTTGCACAATCTGAATAATTCACCTTGATGAAACCTGTGAGCCCATTGTTTCGTATATCCCTGTGTATTTACTATAGGCTTCAGCTTTCGTTTCTAGTGGCGTGTATTTTGCTACATCGGATAAATTGTTATACAATTTTTTTGAACACAGATGTCTTATTGGATGGGATTTTGTCGGTGTGCGCTCTATGTCATAAACTAGTCCTAAATTAGATATAATTGTGTGTCAAAGGAGCTATTTGCACATCTGGCCTGTATCAGCTTCTATCACAATGAGGGCAGCCGTTTTAGTATTAGTGTGCAGGTAACTTGTTATAAAGATGTGTTTGGCGGACGAATTCTTTGCGTTGTATGTACGTATACGTTGAGAGACCTTTCTTGACAAATCTAGCAGGGACGTACACACCATTTGCTTGTGAGTATATGCTCGACTGCCGTTGATTTAATCAGATCAATGTATAAAGACAGTCGTATTCGCCAGGCAATTTAGACGGATTGGATCCGTAGTCCATTACGAAGGAGGGTGCATCTACTCGATTCGGATACGCAAGCATTCGATAGTAGGAGATACAGCTCAAACCAAGACCCGTTATCTGTCCGTACGTGCTGTCTTGGGTCGTACCATAATCGAGAGTGCGATATGACGCCTTCATCTGCACACCGCGGCACACACAATCGTTGTCAGATATCCATTCAACATACTAACACTATGACCAGATATGCCCACCACTAAAGCAATGTCGCTCGCACGTATCAACCACATCGTACCATGTAGGTCGATTGGATGTAGTGGTCACATACACCGAGGCAGATACCACTGCGATATGGCTGTGTCTGGGTAGTGCAGATGCCAATGGGTTCAGCAACTCATCCGTCGTCGACACAAACGGCACAGACATCAGCGGCCAGCCTGCTGTGCTGGATTACAACGGAGATGGTTTCAACGATTTTCTTGTGCAGGTAAAAAGCCTCTATCCGCCAGGCATCACTGGTCAAGGACTATGAATGCTGGAGTGATACATGACTTTGATGAGAGTGTTTCTTCGAATGCTCGTTGCGTATGGCTTGCAGCAGTTCAAAGCAATTGATAGTGCAGCGTCATTTAGTTGGCAAACATCCTAGGTGCAAACCTGTGTACTGAAGTAAGACTCGGCCCTGTATTGTACAGTATCACAACGTGATGAGGTGTGCGCATTGCAGTGTATCGACGTCAAAATCAACGTATGCTTGTAGCTGTATGTGCGACACCCTACCCTCAAGGCTATTCAGGGTTAGTACCTTTTGCAGTTCGTAAATATATGTGCTCAAAATTTACGTCTTGCATCGATTTCTTGTTGTGCATTGCGTTTCCCATTTCAAGTACCGGGTTATCAGTGAAATGTATTTTTATAAAAGTCTCATGATATATGTACGGTTTTAAGAAATGTAGCACATCTTAGCCATGCCTCTATATACTTACAAGGCAAAATTTTCCACCATATCTCACACACAACTCAACGCCTGCGGTATCGAAGTCCGAGACACCCACTTATACCACCAGTCCCACATCCAATTCGACACCTTACCTCAGTCCACTCAACTATACCTGCCGACTACTACACAGTTATCTGTATCCACTCAACCACTCCAGCCAACAACCACACCTTCGCACATGTTTAGTCAGGCATATCTGCCTATATTCACATTCTTGCCCAGTCCACTCAACCATACCTACCGACTACTACACAGTTATCCGTATCTACTCAATCACTCCAGCCAACAACCACACCTTCGCACTCTTTTAGTCAGGCATATCTGCCCATATCCACATTCTTGCCCAGTCCTCTCAACTATACCTGCCGATTACTACACAGTTATCTGTATCCGCTCAACCACTCCAGCCAACAACCACACCTTCGCGCATGTTTAGTCAGGCATATCTGCCCATATTCATATTCTTGCCCAGTCCACTCAACCATACCTACCGACTACTACACAGTTATCCGTATCTACTCAATCACTCCAGCCAACAACCACACCTTCGCACTTTTTAAGTCACGTATATCTACCTATATCCACATTCTTGCCCAGTCCACTCTACCATACCTACCGACTACTACACAGTTATCCGTATCTACTCAATCACTCCAGCCAACAACCACACCTTTGCGCTTGTTTAGTGAGGCATATCTGCCCATATTCACATTCGTGCCCAGACCCACTCAGCCATTCCAGCTCACAACCACACCCGAAATTACACCTCTGAAGCCATACCCACATCGGGTTTTATAATGGCACACATAGCTCTAAACACACGTGTGCGGGCATTACAGATACGATACCCACACATCTTTCACCCGCACGGCATTTCATATGCTATCGCTGTGCTGTATATCAGTCTCCCACCAATGGCCGTGGAGTCTTGCTGTATAAGTCGTCGGATCCGGATTCACTGGTCAGCGAGCCTACGTATGTTTTCTCATCGCAATCGGAAGTCAATGCCACCACAACAGAAGCTCTGCCTGCCATTAGTGTCCCACACTCCAATGCCTTCGTGGATTTGAACGGTGACTGTCTGGCAGGTATGTATGGCTATTTTTGCATGCAAGCCGGTGAAGTATATCCACTGCCGCTGTTTTGTTGAATATTGGTTCTCTGCACCTGTGGGTGTGTTCTTCTAGGTTAACACTATACACATCATATATTATTTTGACATCATGTTAATAGGTTCTGTCTATTTATCTGTGTGTATGATGTACTACATACATATGTGTATAAATACAGGCAGTTGTGGGACACCATATACAACCAAACCATTCTATCAGTTGTAGCTTCACATATTAGACATGTTTGCGCAAGCGACAAAGCATCGTTGGTTTTCATTACGAGTACTCTGACGACCCCACCACATACTATTATCCGGTATGCAATCTTATTTCGCCAATTCATTATCAGTCTGCCCCTTATTAGTCTGTGCTCCGCTCAATGCTCAACAGATCTTGTAGTAACCACTAAGGAGGGAATCGAGTTCTGGCTCAATATCCCAGGGGAAGGAATAAGCAGCGCAACGCGGACGCTGCTCAAGTTGCCGGTGGGTGTTTTGTACACCAATCTAGGGCAGCTCTCCTTCGACGACATAGGTGTGTGTGTGCCGCTATAAACATGGCTTCACAGTTTCCGTGTGCATTATGCTCGGACTTTTGCTCACGTCGAAATTGAGACGAGGTTTGCACTTCTACTCCTCATGTGTCGTTTTCTTTCTTCCGCGGCGATTCTCACTGTACCCATTAGATTCGGATGGAGCCATGGACATAGTAGTACCGGTGTGCACTGTTTCCGACAGCGTCTGCACTACTTCACAGGTCCTTATCCTGTACAACTCCGGTATGTGTTTCTTTACACTTGGGCGGTGGTCGTACCCCCTGAGATGTTATTTGGCTCAATATATCTAAGTGGTATTAACTCTATGTTCAGTATATGGACGAGATACATCTCTTGTCGAGCTGTTGCAGTGGAGCTTTGCTTGCATCTCCAGCGCTCTATCGCTCGCGATGGGTTGAATTCGTCGCGCCAAGGTGCGCACTCAAGCGCCTAGCTAAACTAGAGAATTAATGAGACGTAACAGTAGTTTGCGTGTAGTCTCACGATCAACATAGGCTTCATCCTTGACACAGATATATGTTATGGCATGGCCCACTACCAGGATCTACTCGGACCTCACAAAGCTGTTATTATGAGACGTATTGTACTGGCCACAGCAACTCATGTGGATCGGTACTTCGAAATATCATAATTCAGGAAGAGCTGTTAATCACTATTTTCTTCTTCTATGGTTTTGCGTGATGGTTTGTCTTATTAGCCTTCATTATGCCTCGTACATACTAATATAGCTCCCACATAACGGCACTATCGGAATTTGACTCCATATTGTTTGACGCAGCAGGCAGATTCGAAAGTGGGAATCTGCGTCACTTAGCTGGTGGAGAACCCACATCCGTGGTCGTAGCCTGTGCGTCTAGGCTTCACACTCATACACTGGTTTCAAACTTACGCATTGTCTTCTTGACTCACATACTCAGCCACCATCGATCGAGACTCCAGGTGCCAGGCGGCGTCTAACTGGGGCTTCGGCAAACGCTACACTCTGCAGGTGCTGGCTGACGTTAACTTCGTTCCGTATAAACCTGGAGATACCAATTCGCCGCCGATTGCGCTCCGCACAGGTAAATGAATGCATTGTTTGGGGTGTTCCTGACCTTTTTGTCTCCAACCCAGATACACTTTGCTCTGGTTGCTCTGCTGATGCTATACAGTAGACGCCGTGGTGTTCGTGGATGTAGTCGTCCTCTGGTCTTCTCGACAAAGGGTCGGCCTAGCGCTGTCAATGCACCGGGTGGCCAAGCACAGGGCACGCCAGGAGTGTTGAATCCGATATTATTGCGCACTGGTTGTCACACTTGTTTGCCTCCCTGTCGGTCTGAGCTACTTTTGCCTCTGCTATACGTCGCTTTGTATAGTCTTGTGTCGTCTAGTACAGAACCACGGACCCAAGAGGGCATGGAGAAAGCTATGGTGCTGTCGACATACATATGCAGCGTTTTAATGCTCGCCTATATTACATGTCTGAATTCCGGTTTTTGGGCAGGTTGTCTCGACTTCGATGGATTTCCCGATGCGGTGGGGGTAGCCATAGTCTCGGCGTCCGGGAAGAAATCATTGGTGCTTTTCATGAACCAAGACTGTGAGGATATACCTGGCATCAATCAAAACACGATGAATGTTTGCGATCGACGAGGATTTCTGCCGGTATGATACCGCGCTTGTGTTGATGGTGTCTAGTGGCATTCTCTGGTGGGATTTTGTCATGGAGTGCTTCTGGTGTAGCTTCTCCCATTGTGCTTTTTTAGGAGTTTTTTGACGTATCAGAATGACTATTTATACGTGAGGTTGTACGCGGAAAGGTGAAATATAGTAGTATCAACATCGAATATCGGCGCATTCTTCTTGAATTTGGTACAACTGTCGTCAGAATTAGTTTTTATCTGCACATTCTCTTGAAGAAACTACCATGGTATGTTGTGTTTGATTGCCTTGATTTTTAAGGTAGCTTACTATATAGGGTTGCTTTATATATGTCTAGGTGTGGCAAGGAATGTTGCCGGGTTAAAAAGCTTTCTAAACTTTAAAGTTCGTTATTTAATTAGGTCACTCAGCGAAACAATATGTCGTGGTAACCGGTTTGAACTGCGGATACGTACTATCAACCACGCCCTCCCCAGACTGATCCTCTCGCTGGCCTTCCATTGCCTATTGTGCATTAATTCTATGCAATTATACATTCTGAGAAGATCCCTAATATATTATAAATTCATGTTCACCAGGTGATCGAGCCTGTCGTGAGTGATGTTACTGATCCCATTGTTGGGGCATTCTTTGACTATGAGGAGAACATCATTTTGGACCTGGTGGTGATTGCGCAGAGCACCACAGGGACAGTCATACCACGGATTCTAAAGCAAAGTCTGGTCAATGATGCGTTCTTCGTCAAGGTGAGTTGTATCGCCAATTTGTCCTCGAAACCACTTATATCACGTTTGCTGAAGCATTTGTTTCGGTGGTTGAGTGGTACTGTTTTTATGCGTCGGATGGGCTTTGATACCGATTTTTTACATTTGGTCCGTTGGGTGGGTGTGTTATATCTGGTTCAGGAGAGACTTTTCGTACAGATACTGCACCGACGGCCGTCAGCAATATGTTGCTCGTTATGTCTGTAAGTATTATACAAGGTGACATCTTCAATACGCATGGTGAAGCAAAGATTGGTCCACAATTCGCGTCTTCTTGGCATTTGTGATTGCGTTCAAGGTTACTGGCAACGACTCACCTCGGATACATACATTAAACTGATCAACGGGGGGCGGTGTGTTTGCCGTCAGGCTGGGTGGGTTGTTTCAAGTGCTTACGTCTTGTGATATGCGCACTAAGGCATAGTCCACTTCTAAGGCGTAGTCCACTTCACGTTTTTGAGCTTTATTTAAGTGATTGGGTGTGTTGTATGTGAATATGAGGACATTGGGAAGCTGGGTAACCTTTTCTTGTCAAACTGCGTGGGTGTGGTATTGCCTATTCACAGGCTAAGGTTTGCCGTGACTACTAAAGCTCAGTTTGGCTTACGGTTGTGGTTCACTTCTTGCAGGTTCGTGTATGTTCCAGACCACGAGCTGTGGTGCAGTGTTTGATGCACTGGTTGATTCTGTGTCACGTGGCATTGCAAGTTTATATCAGTTGAAACCAGCACCCAGTCATTGTCCCACTGTGATCGTGATAAGCCCAACTACCTACGGCTGAGCGCGGACATGTCGCGTAGTTTGAAAGCAAGCTTGTATCCTCTGTGTCTAAACGTATGTGCATATTTTACGTGAAGGTTCGAACGGAACAATTCACATCATATACATTCTCTCTCCGCACTTTTCTCACAGGTGACCGTGTTAAACGGAGTTGACATGAACGCTGACCCGTTACCCTACGGTGTGAACACTATAGGGGCGGCTGTTGGGTTGCAGTTCGTTGACATCTACGGACAAGACCAGACACGTATAGCCGCACAGCAGTCTCTGACATGCTATCAATCGCTACAGACAGGTGTGTGTATAAGTCTACGGGGTGAGCATCAAAGGTAGGCTCGTACAAGTCCTATTGTGTGGTGTATCACGCAATAGGAAAATATTGTGCCAGAGGGCGGACTCTTGTCAAACTACGTTGGGGAATTAGTGGTTGAGTGCCGGTGGCCCAACTGATTGTCGAACTGGCCCTTCAACCTGATTTTGTTATGTCCTAGTGCCGAATATATTTATGTGGTTTGCGTCCATGTATGTCTATGTTTGAGTCTGCCCGTGCCGGTGGGTGCATATATGTCTAAGTTTACGTCTTGGTTGACTGCAGCGTCTATGTTCATCCACAAGCACACTCCGGGGTATAGCTCCATTTTATTTTAGTATTATCTGCAATTGTGTACGTCTAAGAGTACCTCGCCGTGGATGGGGAATTGTGCATTTGCGTGCACGTGTCAGAATTCAATGATCTGTGTGGATTCGAAGCTCTGGGGAGTATTTCGATGCCTCCATGCTTGTGAATGTGACAAGGGTAACCTCTCTTTTGCGTATGTAGATATATCTATGTATAATCAGGGCCGTGTGCTTTTTTATGTGCTGCAAAGGTGTTCTTGTGGTATCCCGCTTCGTTCGATGTTCTGTCCACCCTGCAGTTCCTTTACCAATTGCATTGCATTTCTTTCGCCTCCCTCTACCACACAGGCTATAGTGTGATAGGTCTAGGGCGTACCACCAACTACATCGATGACCTGACCACGGCCATTGCATATACGGGCAACGGGGTCATCAATAGCCAAACTTGGAATGCAGTGCTTCCGAACTCTCAACTGGTGATTGCACCTTACCAACCCGATCAACCCGTGGAGTATGTTTGCGTCATGGAGTGATCTATTTTTAGACCTACTCCAAGAACTCACATTTTATTGTTTCTATCAAGTGTCCGCTGGTGTGCGTGTGTCTGCATTCACTCTTTGATACAGTAGATTGTGGCTTTTAGTCATCGTACTGCAACGCACGGAGTTCACGCTCTGCACATCCATCGATGTTAGGCTGCTCGCACAGAATCATATGCATGCCACCTACATATTGATTAGCCATGCCAACTAGATATGTTGCTAACTGACTTCAACCTTCACTTTCGAAAGGGGTTGTTGAGCGAATTGGTACTATAATTAGTTGTTGACATCCTACTCTTACCTCCACAGCTGGACTATGAAGCTCTTCCTGGTCCCAAATAACGTGGTCTTATGGGTCAGTCTATCGTTAGTGGTGGGGTGCTGCGTGCTAACGATATTGTATCTTCTGCTGCATTTTCGGGAAAAGGTACGTAGAGGAGCTCATGCCGATATATCTGAAGTACTGCAATACCGTACTGTTAAGCAAAATGCCGTGGGTGATGGTGCCCAACAATTGTCTGTGGTGGGCGTATACATCTACAACAAAACGGCATATGTCTGAATAAAAGTGTGTATTTGTGTTATATACATGTATACATGTGCGTTTGTGTAATAACCATGCATACACATACATTCGTGATATCTTACTATCTGTTCGTGTTCGCACTCGTACTTCCTTTCTGTATATATGCATATCTGCGGGATACGGAATTGGTATTTAAGGAGTCTTCGCTTGCTTGGTACACTTGTAGGCTTCTGTGAATCACTCTCATCTATCACTTTATCTCGGGACACACGCCTGATCCCTGGTGGTCACCGACTTCTCTACAGCGCATAGACGTATGTGATAGACTAGTACTGCGTGAAGAGCATACAGATATTCCTGACTGATCAATGGTCCCTACCCCTTTTATATATTTTTAACAGTGGGAAGACGAGCAGGAGAAACGGAGAACGGATCATCTCTTCAACTTCAACGCAATGTAGTCTTCCCAAGCCTTGCAGGCGAGCCAAAACATCACTGTGCCCGTGCAAAGTCCCACGGCGCAATTGTCCCAAGTATTAGCTATGCATATCGCGACAGATGTGCTCTTTACGGTAGTGTGAAGGAGATAGCCCTGCGCAAAGTATTCGTTTTCAGATCACGTGCTTTACGGGCCAGCTATGTCATAAAACGGTGTATCTCGGTATGGGATATGCAGACAGGTAGAACCCGGCCTTGCCTCTGCACTGCTGACGAGGATACCTGGTATATTGTATTCTCAGGGATGATGTACCGTCTGGCAACCGAGCATTGGATGCCTGAGTGCACTACATGAGGCTATGAATACGCACAACAGAGCACCTGCCAATGCAGTCACGCTAATGGCTCACATATGTCCACGGCCACGTGAGAAGAATTGTACTCGGCCCCGGTAGAGATAACGATTTGCATATTGCCCATAGAGATATAAGCGAATGGTATACAAGACATGAGCCGCATATGTACATCTGGGGGGATGCAACCGCGAGTATGGCCGGAAGGTCGATCTGCTTTGGAGACAAGAGTATCGTGTTGGATACAAGTCTTCTTGTTGGCAAAGCCTCCACACAGAGCACCTGTCAGTATGCCACGCTGGCGGCATTCGTACAAGCACGTCGCCATTCGACTTTCAACGGGTGCGACTAGTATTGCAAATAGTCTATTCACTATATGTGGTGTTCTGTTAGCGATATCTGCATTGCTCAGAAAAAGTAAAGCACAGTGCAAACTTCACGAATATTTTATGCAGTAGCTTGGTGACGCGTTCCACTCTGGAGAAGCCACTTGAATGGACTCATGCGTATACACACTTGAATAAACTTGTGCGTATATATAGTTCTTGAATATGGACAGAGTATGTTGAGTTATTCACTACTGTGTATAAATCAATTCTCTTCTATCACTATGATGTGCTCGAATGGTTATTGTAGAAGATTTGCAAACCGTCCAACAGACATGATTCGCATACTATTTATATATGTTTTGTGTCAGACAGTCATCACTCAGCTCTCTATGTCATTTGCCTGGCTCTCTCTGCGACTACTCTCTCTAGAGAGAGAGAGAGAGAGCGTCAGCAAGTCCGAGTGCATACATCTCCCGCCAAAATTCCAGAAAAATTTTAATTTGTATATTTTGTTCCCGGACCCGTAGTCGTTGGGTGGTAGACTCGTATGTCGTAGATGCCGGGCCGGACCAAGAATGATAAAAAATAATTTCAGAAATCAAACCAAAAAATTAAATAATAAAAATTGGTGCAGTAGTAGCAGTACCAATGTTATCTTAGCTTTCTTCTCTCTCTCTGTAGTAGTAGAGGGTCATGGCAGTACTGAGTACATATGTATGCAAAGGAAATAAGTAAATAGATATAAATATACATTGTGATTTGTGTGTAGTGTAGTGATTCGCATCTTACATGTACTGTTGATGGATACCCTGCATCTGTCGATCCACGGACCACAGGGCTATAGGATATATATATATACACATATGAGACACATGTACAAACGTGTAACACCCACTGTATATAACTACATCACTTGCCCAAACACCGTACAATTCACAGAATTTCTGGCCTGTATGGGACGCTTTCTAATTCGCGAGTGCCCTTAAGCTGAGATATATTTGATCACATTCAACTATATCTGACTACTTTTAACTACTTTCGAGCGTTTACATACGAATATCGGTACAAGAAGAGTTACATTGCCGTCTAGCAATATGCAGTTTGCGACGACGAAAGGTGCCCGTTCCTCTGCTCTGGTGGCCCGGTTAGCTCAGCCATACCTAATACATTCACCCTATGAAGCCAAATTGCCGCATGTGGACGACCCCATATTCTTCACTGAAATCATGCGTTTGCTCAATGCACACAGGAGTTCTCATCGTGGTTTACACAATAATTCGCATAGTGATGCACAGTCGGAAACAGATATAGATCCAGATATATCAGAGAACATGAGTGATCAGCAGTTGTCCTCGAATATACGCACAATTCTGCGGTGTGCGTCTGCTGTGTATACGGTTAGGTACGATCGAGACAATGTGAACAAGCACGTGCGCAGGCTGCAGAGAGCCGAGAGGAGTGGCTTACATGAATACTTCACCACTGTGGCGCAAGGTATGCGAGAGTGCGTGCATCCGGCATTAGTTAAAGTCAATCGTTGACTGTACTTGATAAATAATCTATCTGACTTCTGAGAAGCCTCAAATGCTTAATTCAAATAGGTACGGGAGTGGCATACATGGGCTCTCCACCACTGTAGTGCAAGTTACGCGAGTGGGCTTGTATGTAGGATTGATTATGATTTTGTGACTTGGGAAGAGGTGGAGTGTAAATGTTAATGGTCTCCGAAAAGTCTACTATATGATGCAAAGTAAGCACGTCTAAACACACAACAACCTGTACGTATTAGCATTTAATGTGCAGTGTATCAAGTGCCAGACCTTATTCTGCGGTCTCAAGACCCTAAACCCGTCCCCGTGCTGGCCGTCGCCGTTGTCGTGTTCAGGCGTCGTATCCGCCAGCACGAGGAAGCGCTTAGTGATCGCGAAATTGTGATTATTGCAACGACATCATTGAGGATGCCATTACATACCTAATTATTTATTTTTCTTGTCTTCACATCATCTCCACTCTATGTACACTCTATCCGGAGCCTCATGTTTACGCCTCTTAATCGCGTTGTAAACACTTCTGATAAATATAGCTTTCACCACGCTTATCGCAAACTAATATGTCACCACAACCTGAACTGCAGATCGTAGCGAGGACAGAGACGTGGTAGTAGCAGCTTTATTAGCTACTGGCTATCTGTGCGGCAGTGATTCAGTATGCGATGCGCTTCTCGATCAAGGGTTCTTATCGGTTTTATATAGGATACAAAGCAGGTTTCCACAGCATTATGATGTGCAGCTAGCTTGCACGTATGTGGTCTACGCTCTTGTGGAGAGAATGGTCGTGTCTCGCACAGATAGTGAGGCAGATATACAGAAGGATGTGTGTGCACAAGTGTACGCTTGCGCTGAAACCGCTCTTGCTACTTACTCCGATTGTGTGGATATCCAAGCCAGGGCTATCATGGTGTGTACGCGTGTCCTGCAGCTTGAGATGAGTGCGTTGGTTGCTGAAGGTAGTGACAGTGAATCAGTATTAGCTTGTAATCCACAGATTTTTTTGGAGTGTGTGCACCGAGCGATGAAGACGCTTACGGGCAATGCGCGTGTTCAGACAAGTGGTTTGCTCGCTTGGCACCGACTGTGTGTGTACGGTCTCACCACTGATAGCAGCGACGCAGCAACCACAGTTGGCAATGGCTCACAGTCTAGCTCACCTGTACCTATACACACCGAGGTCCTGAACAGTAGAGTATCCCAGGCGCAATCACGAATAGTGGACTCAATCATTATGAACAAAGCTGACACAGATGTGCTGAGGGCCATGAGACGCTTCCCGGACAAGCGCGAGGTGCAGTCAACCGGCTGCCAGTTCTTCAGCTTGTTCTGCTCGAGCCCGCGTATGAACGCGTGCGCGGCTTCGCATGACTCGCACGTGGCCTTGCAGAAAACCATGCAATGGCACCCGCAGGACTTGCAGCTGCACACACGCGCTATGCGAGCGCTGATAGCTTTCGCATTAGCAGGTACGGATAGTGATACTGATGGATCGGGCGCAATCGCGCAGAGGGTGGCCAGGTTGTGGGAGGTAGCATTGTATCGAGATGTATGTGCTACCGTGGAGTGTGCATTGCGTGAGATGGTGAAGTTACGGGGAATGGGTGGGGACGTGGCTGCTAGTGATGGGCATAACATTGATTCAACGCGTGCTGATACAGTTGGGGGTGTGGCAGAGGAGGTTGCCAGTTGCCTAACTCCGTCATCTCTTATCAGTCTAGGTGAGACTCACAAACCAACCGACGCAAAACAGGTGGTGGTGATAGGCTGTGAGCTTATCCGGTTGCTGTATACGCACGCGTGTGCAATTGATACGACACGACGGTCGGCTTCCGTTAGACGGCGCAGCAGCACAAAGGAGGATGAATATCTGGCTTCGATGGAGAAGTTAGGCACACATGCCAGTGGGCACGGCTACTTGTGGGACGTACAGGCTGTTCTCATGGATGCTTTGGAAGCCTCTCCTGATGACCTGTGTGTGCAGCTGTGTGCGCTGCAGGCATTGTGTGCATTCGCGGGGGATGATGCGAATTTGAGCGGCATGAATACGAAGCAAGGCATGTCCGTGAAGGTTGTGAACTTAGTGCTGACCGCGATGGATAACTATTTGCACGTGTGTGCTCTGCAAAGGGTTGGGTGTGTATTTCTTATACGCGTGTTTGAGAATGAACAACTACAAATGCAGAAGGGAAAGTTGAAGGCCGGTTGTGTGACCATGGGCACGGCCGTGAGAAGGGCGAATGCGCACTTGATCATCCAGAAGGCGATGCGCGCTCATGACCAGGACCTCTCACTGCAAGCTTACGCCTGCGAGGCCTTGGTGGGCTACTGTGCTGATGAGAACAACGTGCGCAAGCTGGGTGTGAGTGGATTGTATTTGGATGTCTTAAGTGCCATGCGTGGTGTTCTTGATAGTGATAGGCCGGATGCAAAGCTATGCAAGGAAATGGAGGGGGATAAGGGAAACAGGGAGGAAGCTAAAACGTCGCTTGCGTTGCAGCTGGCCGTGTGTACGGTATTTGATGAGTTTTGTGTCAATAAGGATAACAATAAGTTAGCGGGTATGGCGGATGTACATCTGCTTCTACAGCAGGCTATGGACCGGAATTTGAAATGCGCTAAACTACAGATAGTGACATGCTACACACTTGCACAGTACTGTCGAAACGAACAGAACAATGGGAAATCGGGGGAATCGGGCCTCCACAGAGCTGTGCAGCGCACAATGGAGATGCATGCCAATAATGAGAACTTACAGGAAGCGGCATGTATGGTTTTATGCAGGTACTACAGATCGTCCGAAAATGTTCAGCAAGGCCAGGCGGATGGTGTACTCGATGATATGGAAAGGGCTGCAGTGCATTTTCCGGACAATGTGGACATCGTCAGTGCTCATGCATTGGCCTGCAATTACGTCGAGCTGCTGGAGGCGCAAAAAACGCCTTCAGTAGCACCTGGGTCGGATTGCAACGATAATACGGATGACTTCAATGTCCTAAGACAACGTATTTTGAGCGAAACCGCAAGAGCGGGCGGCGCTCATACCAAAAAGAGTGGGGTGAGGAGTGCAGGGGCTGGAGAAAGAGTAGGAGACAGCCCCGAAGACGAAATGGAAGCTATAGTGTGGCGCGAACAACGGGATTTGATAAATGATTCACCAAAAGCCAGGACGAAGCGTGCTGCAGCTCTTAAAGCCAAACGTATAAAGCTGGTGATGAACGCATGCCTTATACTGGTGGTTTTATCCGTTGTGTATGGAGCTCTGTGGCTAATCACCCCTAGGTGGATTCAAACGAGTATGTTCATGAGCCTAGAGCATTTGGGAGTGGTGTGTACCTCCGTGTTTCTTTTCTACAAGAAGAGCAGAGAGATCTATAAGACTTTGGTCGGAGCTTATAGATGGATGTCGGGAGCTGAGGAGTCTCGTGAGACAAGGAGTGGATATATAGTCGGATCCCGTACGCGTCGGTAGGATATCTTTCGGTTAGTTATCAACTAGGATGAACGTATGAGCACTGTTGCGTGCGATCAGTGCCATCGCCCGTGTGGGCAAATTTTTTTTTTGAAAGGTTGAAGCAATTTTGATGTATATGGACATCAAGGAATACCTGTTGGAAACATTTCTGAAATAAAGTTGTTTGAACTTGAATGGTGAATGAAACCTCATATAAATATGAATGTCACACAAATTTGAAATTGGTACTAGTTGTAGTACAGCTAGTGATCGAATTTTGATAAGCAAGAGACCTAAGAACACTTGATGATAAGCATCTGAAAATTGAAGACGTCAATCTGCCGACTTTTTCAAATTTCTCCTGCGGCCTATTAACTTGAAGGCAATGAAGCGAGTTGTATAGTTTTATCTGCGTCAGGGTCGCGGCACAACATTGCGACTTCTGGTTGTTACATAATAGCCACGGCCATCTGCACAAGTCGGGTCAAACAGCATTTTGTCAAAAGGTAATTTTCCCAGACACGAGAATTGTATAATCGCCCAAATTGCCTTTTGACTGCAACATCTCTAGAGGGCCATGTAATAGCATGCTCTTTAGTTACTCCTCAACCAAGAATCAAAAGTTCGATCAGGGAGTTTAATAGGTAAAATGTAAATGCAATGGCCGCGTGAATTAAAACGTGCAGTTCTGTATAACATTTCAAGTTTTAACAATACCAGCTGTGATTCCTGAGCGTGAATTTGCGCTAATATCTACGTCTCTCAAGTTGAGACGATGAGAATACAAGTCAAACATATGATGGCATGGTTACTTTACTATAGCTATCGTCGTCTTTAATATGGTGGATATGAACTCATGGCTTGCAACAGATGAGATACTTACCTTAATTCGAGATAAAATGTACTATTTAAATTATTTCTTATGATCATCGCAGGAAGCTAAATGTTGTTTTTAGAGATCAAGTCCCCAGACAGAAACCACGCGGCGCGCGCAGTTGAAATGAGTAGACGTTCCTCCCTTCTTCATCTACTAACACGAGGTCCCCATTCCTAAGTATGACAGCAGCCACCGCGTCTGTTCGCAAAATAGGACTGAACTCCCGCCCTATTGCTGTACCCTTCCTATACTCGCCAATTTTGATTGTTCCATCAGCAAACTTCATTTGACAGTTCGTTCCATTACTGCATGCAGAACTCGCACCGGAGAACTCTGCAAATTTCACACGCTCTCCATCTTCCGTGGTTGCAGGTCCTGACAGCGTGAGTACTCCTTTTGCTTCCAATGTAAGCCTTACATCGCAAGGGCCCGTCAGGAAATTCCCAGGTGTCATTCTAAACCTAACCGGATCATTTGGGAGCACACCCGTGGGGTATGCGGCTGTATATTCTACCAAGTTTAACACAGGTTTATCAACATTAGCCCTATTCTTATCTAAGAGTGGACTACCGGGTGACACGGGGGAATTCGCTGGAAATCAACCACTCTCAGATACAAAAGCAGCCGTTGCAGCTGCTCCTGCGCCAGCACCAACACCGCCATTCACAGTAATGTCAGAATCACCAATACTGCTCACTCCTCCTCTGTCAGAATTCACATTCGAATTCTGCAAATCAATATTTACATTCTGCACAGTATTAACAGGTACAATGCCAGTGACCGGCACTGTTGGGTTGAAGGATGTTGGATTGAAGGATGTGGGATTGAATACGTTCGGATTATATGTAGCTGGATCAAATGTGTTTTGTGTGGTTGTCGCGAATGGATTAGTGTTCGAGAAGGTAGGATCGAAATTCGTAGTCGTGAAGGGATTTGTGGCGAATGGATTTGTGGACTGCCGCCTTCGGACAGGATAAGCCAAAGCGCTATGGTGAACAAGTAAGAAAACTGCCCACAGTATCAGTACCCTCCTATTGAACATGCTTGTAAAGATGTGCATCCGAATGAAATTTTATACTTGCGACAGTTGAAGTGTAGGTTTAGGGTGATTTACAACTATTCTGTGGTAGAAGTTTTGGGTTGTATATATAAATAAACGCACATAGCTATACGCTTGTTTCAAGGGAACTCATGCTGAGTCGTGCACGGTGGGTGGTGAACGGTGGTGAAGGGGAGCGTTCCTTATCCACGGACTCTAGGTATAGACAGCGAGTCAGTGACCAGGTCACCAGATAAAAAAATTAAAAATATGAATGTACATAGGGCATTTAAAATTTATAAAATTTATTCTTTTTTTATTAAATTGAGAGTTCAACGAATTGGCTGTTGCCTGTTCGGCTGGAGTCAGTGGAGTGTTGAAACTTGGAACTTGGGAATTTCAATTGGGACTCTGAGAGTTGGGAACTTGGGACTTGGGAGTTAATGGGCTGGTACATATGAGGTCGCGACATGTTGTCTGTATATATGAAAACAAGTAAATGACCGTCGCGACGTGTCGTCTAAAAATGTCGTATGTCGTTTAGATATACATACTGGACATGTTGTCATACATACAGTCGGAAATTTTCGGAATTTTCATGCTCACCCTTTGGTAATCGATGAAAGGTACCGTGATGATTGGCGAAATTTTCAGATATTGATGATTCAGAGGGTCTAATTTCTTCAATCTCGAGTCGGCCACAAGACATGTCGCCTAAAAAATTACGTAAACGAACGTCGCGACGTGTCGCCATAGGCAAAACTGCAAAAGACATGTCGTTTACCAGCTCGGCATACATGTCTCATCAGTCGTCAGTCATCACTCAGTCATTGCTGACTCTCATTGACTCACTCTGCTCAGTCTGCTGGAGCCTGGAGGCTGGAGTCTACTCTGGAGTGTGAACTGTGAAGTGTGGAACGTGGCCTTTGGAGCATCTACCTCTCTACTCTAATCCTCTATTGACTATTTTCTAAAGTGAAAAGTCACCATGCACGCCTGCCAGGTCTAAACTCTCTCACTCATATTTTTTTAAAGTTACTCTCTCTCTCTCAGTCTCTCTCTCACATCTTGATGGATCATTGAATCCATGACGTGTCTCATAAAAGTCATGATGATGTGTAGGCGAAATTCAGAAATAAATTTCAAATTCTTCTTGAGTCGGATCTTATTTGTTTAAAATAAAAATTAGATCTTGTAGAGATATGTAGAAGTGTTTGACAGTTGGCTGTTTGACAATACTGTATTTACAAATGTACACATGTATTTATATATATTGTTTTAATAAAAATCGAAGCCGATATTTAAAATATAGTTGACTCTTCTTGACTTTGAGTTTGTCAGTTTGAGACCAGCAGTGTGTCTGCACTCTGCAGGCCTGCAGCAGAGTCCGAACTTGAGGCTTGAGACTTGAGTCACACTCTCTCGAGACGAGTGTGACAGTGTGCAACACAAGAGTAAACAACACTGCAAGACTCAAGACTCAGCACGAGTCAAGACTTATTCCTCTCACACGACCCTCGGCCTCTCCCCCAGAGAGAACCAGACTCCCAAGTCCCAACACTCACACAACAAGAAGTGTGAGGAGTGAGGAGTCTGAGGACCCACTCTCAGTCTCTGCAAAGTCTCCACAGTGAACACTGAACACTGAACAGTCCACACTGTCCACAGTTCACACACTCGCGCAAAAGAAGATTTCAAGATATGTACATACATAGTCCTTTTTTCTATTTAATTAAATTAGGAGGACGAAGAAGAAAAGAGAAGAGAAGTGAGTCTCAGAGAGATAAAACACCGCTTACGTCGGTAAGGAACTAAAAGCTCTGAAACGAGGGGGACAATTTTAATTTTAATTTTGGGTTTTCGTACCCATGTTTCGTTTGGGAAAGCGCGCCCCATGGGTTTAAAAGTGCAACATAAATTTTGGTTCACGTTTCGGTCCAGATTTCCATAAAAATAATTTGTTAATCTTGTTTTGGGCCTTTCTATATTCATGTACATTGTATAGGGTCTCAAATGGGCATAAATTTATTCCTTATTTGGATAAATAAAGTTCTGGGGTACCTAATAGCTAAAGCTTTTAGTGATAATAGATATGATGGAGATTGCCAGATCGGAGAGTTTGTATAAAATAAATAAAATTTGTGTCTGTGACCTCTCAGACTCTCACGAGTCACAACTCACAAGAGCTGTATTTTAAATATTACTCTTATCGCGGTCTGATTGTACTCTTTTTCTATCAAATTTGGGTATAACTGACAATACCCGATCACAAACTTCGTAGCATTCAGGGCGCGTTGTGGTAAATTTATAATCGACTCGATTTATACATTTAAAAAAATGTTATTTATCTTATTTTTTCTTTGCTTTAGGAATTCATGACCTTTTAGAAAAAATCTAAAAATTAAAATAGAAAACAATACAACAACGGACGAGAGCAAATATTTTATTTGCAAATATTTATGATGGGTCTTGTAGGAGTCTATTAAAGGTAATAGGACACTAAGCCGCTAAAAGTCTATGAGTATTTATGGGCCTAAGGCCATACATACTACACATGGCCTCCTGAAATAATCGCATAGACCATAGCCTCCTGTTTCTTTTTTCAGGGCAATGCATAGACCCTGGGGTCAAAACCCTACTTTTGAGTACATGTATCACATTTAAACGAAGTAACACGTGTGTGATGACGTACTTCCTGTTATAAATGTAAATAAATTGTACATACATACATATTGTTAGTATTGTCATATTGTAAAATTGCTTGTGAGCGCCACTCTTGAGATACTTGCAAAATAAATATACATTTTGGGGTGCCTTTGTTTCGAGTCTAATAGGTTAGGGATACAGTAGATTGTGAGTCTCAACGATGTCAAAGTCTAAACCTCGTTCCTCATCTAGTGGCTTGCCGCAATCTAAACGGAGAAAGGTACAGAGCACACTTAAAGCTGAAAAATCAATAGATGCGGACAGTGTTGCGAGAATGCGCTTACAGAAACTGGGCGAGAGCTTCATGCGGCAGTTTGAGAACTCGGATGATAGTGCGGATTCAGACGTCGGTGAGGATCAGGCTTTCATTGCAAAGTCTGGACCTCAGGTCGGCTGTGCTCGACGCAGTAGCGATGAGATACGTGGCGAGCACAAGGATAGCGATAGCGAAAGTTTAAGCGAACGTGAAAGCGAAAGCGAAAACGAAAGTGAAAGCGAAAGTGAAAGTAATAGTGAGAGCGACGAGTCTCGTGCAGTAGGTGACGATGAGTCGAATAGCCATACGAGCGGGATAAAAAGGCGTAAATCTCATGCCAAGGGTGAAGAAGACACTTCGCCAACCTGTCGGAGAAAGGTGATGGGAAGGGCGACAGGTTTCGCAAACAATTCGCAAAATACGCGCACACGAGTGGTTTCTCAGAAAATACAAAAGAGGCAACCGCTAGTAGTTGATGCCACTGGCTATGGCAACATGAACAATAAATTTCAGGAGACGGCGATGCGCAAGGAGCGTCAAAATTTTTTGTCGGCGAAGGTGTCGGATGTACACACGAAGGTAGGCAGGGAACAGAAATCGATGGAATTAGGTGATAAATTCAGCGGAAACTATCTGGATTGGATGGAAGATGTGCATAAAGAGGTTGAAAAATTAGGTAGGTGCTTCCCGTAGTGTCTTGATTGCCTATTTGCGCCGGCTACATTCACCCACAATTATCGAGAAGATGCGGCTTGTGGTTCTTCCTGCAGATACCCTAATTTAGCGCTGCAAAGATTTTCAAGGTCGAATTCAACATGAATTTGTTTGTATACCTCAAACACACATATGTATATGAACACACACACACTCACACACTCACTCACTCACTATCTCTCTCACACACACAAAAAACACAGGCGCATAAACACACACAAACAAACACAAAGCC